TCTGGCGATAGGTTTGGAATTTTAGCTTTGAAACGCCACACTCCTCTTTGAAATCGCTTCATTAGTTCCCGTGCAACAAGCGTTTTCGTGAAGCTTTAAAAATTACAACTACAACATTTGAGCATAGCCTCCATATCGAAACGTACATAAGACGTATTCTACGTCGAAAATAAAAATCCTGCACAGGGTTGCCGGTCTGGGCTTTTCCTACCAAAATTGGTAGTTTTTTCTCGTTGGTAGAATGGTAGGACGTTTAAATTTTGGTAGGTTTCTTGCTCATAAAACAGAAAACACCTTTGGTTTTTAGTAGTGTGTCAATTTGTCAGCACTGTGAGTAGGCTTTCCAAATTGGGACAATATCAGTTTTACCCTCATTCTGTTTCTTGGATGGGTCCAACTGTTTTCCAAATACCTTAAACAACTCTTTGCTTACTGGCATAGGCTGAATTTCACCAATTACCTTCGGCGATTCTCTGAAATCCGTATACGCTATAAAAAGTTGTATCCACTGGGTATCTAAAGAGATATCAAGTGGTTGAATTGACGGACGTAAAGGCAGGTTTATAAATCAGATATGTTCCACAAGCTACTCGAAGTCACTTCGAGTTACACATACGCGTTCCACAAGTACGTTTTAGAGTTTATTTGATATACGCTGACAGTTTTAAATTTGTACGTTTTAGAGTTTATTTGATATACGCTGACAGTTTTAAATTTGCTCGAGTTTTTCTACAAGTACCTTGTGGAACAAACCTATTTTAAATGGCACTAGAAGAAAAATTCAAATGCATACCACATATGTACGGTGACCATATTTGTGGTATCCGAATACGGGACAAAACATAATTTTGCAAATTTTTTCCACAAAAACTAGAGTAATTGAAAATCTTTTTCAATGATCGTAGATTTATTAGCCCTGAAACAGCATCTTTATTTAGCATATATTTTTCGATCTTTTGTGAACGCAGCACGTAAATATTCAGTTGCAACAACACACATTTGTACAATATTTTTCGATAACTATGTACTTTGTGTTCGGGATTTTTACCCCGTTTTTATCAGCTGTTAAGGCGCCAAAATACAGATTACGGGACATAAAAAGAAATACAGATCATTTGGCGTTCCGTATAAAATAAATAAATTACCAGGACAACTGACGAAAAAAAGAGGACTCTCCCGTATAATACAGGATGGATGGTCACCGTACACATATGAAATGTACGTGTTTACAGAATATGTAATTTTTTATTAAAAAGAAAACTTATTGTTAGTCATACATATTTCCAGTAAATCGGAGGATCTCAGGGTTTTTAACCACAACTCGAAGAAATTAATGGCAAACCCGTAGCGCGCAGATTTTTCCCCCAGCCCGACGGCTCCTAGACCCGGACATTTTACAAGCCTAACCGTGAGGTTTATTTTTACCTTACTTACACATATATACTTCATAATAAATATGTGTATGAAAATCGCACATCGAGTGTTTATTATTCCCATAGGAATTACAAGTAAGACAAGTAATTTTTAGCAAAAAAACCGACTTAAAATATATATGTATATATATATATTTCATAATCCAATGATCGGATCTAACCCAGATTAGTATGGGACCACCTCTAAGACACTACCTTTGCGATGCAAAAATAATTATCGCAATCGGTTGACGCGGTCCAAAGTTATGCGGTAACATACATAAAAAAAATATATATATATTCCGACGAACTGATAACCTCCTCCTTTTTTGGAAGTCGGTTAAAAACGAGTTATTCTCTTTTGAGCTCAAAATATAATTTACTAAGATTAATCAAAATGCTCGAAACTACAAGAATACATTGTTTGCATGTCATTTAAATATTATGTATGCTCAGATTCCTTCTCGGAGCCCCTTCTGGAACTTTTTGTACCAAATTTTTCCAAAACAATTTTTGTTTGTTTTTAATCACTTGACTGGCGTTGCTAGAACACCTGTCATATGTCAAAACCCCTTATGAGAAAGTGTGAAGGTAAGAGTGTTGGCATTTTCTTTCCCTCTTCCTCTTTGAGCGAAGAATAGCTGAAATTTGACATTTGTGTAGCAAAAGCGAAAACAAAATACATGTTTTTTTTTGTACTACCCAAGGTACATTGAACAGGTAGTATCAGTAGAGCAGCTGATTTGATTTATTTTCAAATTATTTGGTCCCGAAAATGTCAAATATTTTTATTTTTTTCTCACGAAAATTATAAGTTGTTAAAATCCATTTGCTTGTGAAACCTTTTTCCATACAAAACAAGCGATTGAATAGCAGCTTTTGGAACGTTGGCCCAACTCGGCAGCACGACCGCTGATTAGTGGGCCTTGCAAAGGATGGATCAATGCTTCGATTAGCAAACAAATTTACTAGGAAAGAAAGTTGCATCAATTTTTATTTTTTCCAATTTCAATTTTTTATTTTTTATAATTTTTTGTATTTCACATGGCACGCTTTGATTTAGAAGAAAAAATTCAGAACAGTTTTTGACACTTTCGATACCAGAAGCAACAACAAAATACACGCAAATGTTGTTTTTGCTCTACTGATACTACCTGTTTAATGTGCCTTGGTACTACCGCTACCACCTTATATGAATTCGCCTTGTTTTCTTCCACACAAAGAAATTGCCTAACATAATTTGTGCGTAAGAAAATGCTTCGCATCTTCGCCAAAAAGACAACGATATTTTTTAGGAGGTTCACATTTACACTTTATTTTATAACAATTTAATGTGCTATAAAACTGCGTACCAAAATGTTTACTAAAGATTTTGATGAAACTTTGTCGAATATTTCAAATATTTGTACTTAGTTTGAGATTTGGCCCTACATGATTTTTGTTAGGTAGTTAGCTATACTTTCATAAAAAAAATAACAAAAATTAAATAAACAAGCGAAAAAAAGCCACAAATTGTTAAAATGGCGCACGGTGTACACCTTGGTATTTACCCATTAATACCCATTTTCGTACCCGGGTATTTACCTAATTTCGGTAGATGCTTATTGAATAAAATGTGTGTACCCCTGCAAATAAAAACTACAATTTTTATTAAAATTATGTATGTACAGTATATTACGTTTAGCTGCCTTTTCACTTACGCGCACAATTTTACCAAAATACTGCTCCATGAAATGAATTTTGTACGATTTTTTCACTTTTAACTGCATTTGCCCTTAGCTACCCTTTTCCGTTTACCAGCCCTGTTTTTGAGTAAGTTTTCTTCGATTTGTACGAAAAATACTTCGCTTGCCATTACTAAAATCTAATATATTATTTACTTAATTTTCGTAGTTCACAAGGTGCTGAAGATGGCATTCCTTCAACTTCAACAGGAATCGTGCACTCGTGAGCAGTGTTGCCGCGAATCAGTTTTAGTGGTAGCCAAATTCCTTTAAAAAAAGGGCTAAAAAAGAGCTAAAAAAAATCCTTGTGGTTAAAAATGGTGGCTAAATTTTTTTACTTACATATACATACATGTGAGATGTTGATTTATTCAATTCAACTTATTACAGTATGGGATTGGTATTTAAAGCGAATAGTATTCTCAAAAATATAGTTGGAAATTAATACAATACGAGTATAGGTTATACAAAATGCTATCAAAGACGGTTAATCTACGTAATAGTATATTCTCTGATCCTCGGTAAAAAAAATGCTCGTTCTCCACGTCTATACACCACGGCTGTCTCTTCTCGATTGCCACATACATATACATATAAGTATACACACAAACATTTTCAATAAGCAATGGTATGGAAAACAACGAACTCTGGAAAAAAAGCAAATATTTTATCCAACCAAAAACCTTTTTGTATAAAAGGGGAAATATACGACACCAGCTTGCTGGCTCCATCAAGTGATTGTACCATCAGGCTCGAAGCATATAACTTACCAGCATGCTGGTACAATATTTATTTCTTTACAAATGAGGTCGAGGAAAGATCAAAATGATTAGAGCCGAAATTTCATAATTTTTCTACCATTCTTTTAAACATTTTTTTTTTAATTCACAACTACTATTTCGTGAACCTAATCTAAAAAAAAATTAGATCAAATTAAGCATATACAACTTTTTCATGCCAAGTATAAGTAAATTCTCCCAAAGGGCTAAAAATGGGGCTAGGGGCAATTTTAAATTTATGTGGCCAAACAAAGTATGTGGTAGCTAAATCTAGCCACCAAAGGCTAAAACGGCAACACTGCTCGTGAGTTTGAGATTGAGTGATTATGACTTCATTCAGGTTTTATTTCATTTGTAATTAGAAACCAAGTTGGTTCTAAAAAAAATAAAATGAATTAGCAACAAGAGTTTACAGGGTGTACATAGCTCAGTGGTTAACGCTTCTGACTTTGAACATCGATTACGCAGGTTCGATCCCCACTGAAGTCTAGGAAAAAGAAGTCTGATGAGATGTGGGTATCTTCGAAATAGCTGCTATAACTTCTACCGCTTAGACTTTGTTGCTTTTTCAATGTTTTCCTAATAAACAATCGTGGTACTAAGCTTTTATTTAGCTAAAAACTAAAAACAAACGTTATTTGTTTTCTATCTGAAATTTCTTTTAATTTACTTTAAATTTCCGTACCTATTATTTATACCCACAATTTGGTAAATACCAAAGTACTTCGGTAAATATCTGGGTATTTATCGGTAAATACCCAATTTACCAATTAGGTATTTACCCATGCCCCAGCACTAGGCGCACCCTATTAATTTGTCCGACTTTGTATTTTTTAGTTTCATTTGACAAGATGTTTTCACTTATTTGACGGCAAATGCCATTTAATTTGACATAGTCAAAACAAGGTTTAGCAAATGGTCAGCTACGCAATTTAGATCGTATGAGAGCATATCATTAGTAGGATCTATCCGCCATGCCTACGCAGATAAACTCACTTCCGTTCTATAATTTTGTCAGAATTTAGTTAGATATGTATGTATATTCAATTTTTGATTTACCTTTGGTTTTGGTTTTCATCTTTCAGAAATTGGTGCGTTAAAACAACTGGAAGAACTAAACCTTTCCAAGAATCACCTTAAACGTCTGCCAATTCAACTAAGCGAGTGTCAACGGCTACACGAACTCAACCTCAGTGATAATGTCAATATCTGGCATATACCCGAACGAATCTCTTACTTGCCTTCCCTACAATCACTCTCAGCAGATCGTAAGTAACTCTCATACATTTTGAAGGTGATACTGGTTTTACACATATCTTGCTCTTTTAAATATCTTATACCCCCTGGTTAGGTTGCGCGCTCATTTATCTTCCGGTTGCGCTCTCCAAGTTTCTCAACCATGTGCGCATCTTTCACAACACATCCATTACACATGTGCCTATGATTTACGAAAAGTTCTTCCAAACTTTCTATGATAATCGTTCGAAAGCAACACCAATGTAAATATTGCTATTACTTATTATCAGGGAACGGATTTTCAGGACCTAAAAACATATAAAAAAGGCAAAATTAAATAACGAAATAGGCTGGAAAAGGCAAAATAAAATAGCGAAATAGGCTGGAAAAGGCAAAATAAAATAGCGAAAAAGGCACTAGGTATTGCAAAAAAAGTAAAATAATGTACTAAAAAAAAACAGAAAATACGAAGAACAACCAAAAAATACATTTATTTTAGAAATGTTTATATTACAAGTAAAAAGAGGAAAACTATGAACTAGTTTCATTATATTGAAAATTTGTACTTTGAATCTTTGCCTATTTTATCCTTTCGAGTTTCAAACTCATAAAACTTTAATCTGTATAGTTGTAGTAACATTGAACCACAAAATGCATTTTGAAGTTTTCTTGGCAGCATTTTCATTAGATTTTCGCGAAGAAGAGCCTTGAATGTACTAAATGTGCGCTCGAAGTAAGTTGATACAAGTGGAGCCCAATGTAAATATGGAACGTTTGAAACGTTCATATTATCAGGAATAAGGGCGTTTTCCTCGCCCTTTACAATTTTATCCACACCCCTTATTGTCTCCAAGCCTACGTTAGCTGAGAAAACGGCTTTGAATTTTTCCAACACCAATTTGGCAAGAGGTCCCTGCGCTTCTATAAGCCGCATGTGTATATTTTTTAATCTTAAAAAAAAATTGTAAATGCTATAATCACTTTTTTAAAGGTAGAAAAGGCAAAAAAATGCAAATATCTTAAAAAAGGCAACATCAAATGTGTTTAGGCGCGTCTGCTAACACCAGGCGCCTAAATACATGCTATGCACTGCTGCATGTGCAAAAATTTCCTTTATGCAATTTAGGAAATTTTTGCACATGCACTTCTCAACTGCCAAGTAATTGAACTTTCTTAAGTTTCAATAAGATGGCACTTCAAAGCATGCTCTGCCTAGTCGGATGCATCCTCCGGACACTGCTTCCGGAGCATTCTGCGGACTCTGCATGGCTTACAATCATGCGGAGGTGGTAATAGTTGATTACCATTGGCCACAGTGCCTACCCACTACTTTTTGGTCCAATAAATATTTTTTTTATATACATACATGCAAACATACTGGTCTCCCCTCTCACTGAGTTATTCATGGTCCTTCGAGCCGGATATTTGCGGCTTTTGTTATATCCACTAGACGACCAAGTCGTCTAGGGGGGCCGGTATGTTTAGGCGCGTCTGCTAACACCAGGCGCCTAAATACATGCTATGTACTGCTGCATGTGCAAAAATTTCCTTTATGCAATTTAGGAAATTTTTGCACATGCACTTCTCAACTGCCAAGTAATTGAACTTTCTTAAGTTTCAATAAGATGGCACTTCAAAGCATGCTCTGCCTAGTCGGATGCATCCTCCGGACACTGCTTCCGGAGCATTCTGCGGACTCTGCATGGCTTACAACCATGCGGAGGTGGTAATAGTTGATTACCATTGGCCACAGTGCCTACCCACTACTTTTTGGTCCAATAAATATTTTTTTTATATACATACATGCAAACATACTGGTCTCCCCTCTCACTGAGTTATTCAAAATGTGTATATATGGAATCAGGGAAAGCTAAATCGTGGACATTCTTAATCGAATATACTCTGTCTCTTTAGCTGAAAAAAGGCAATTTCCATAAAATCCGTTCCCTGCTTATTATAAATGAAAATCTGAATTAATACATATGTATATGTACATACTTTTACGGTATATATAGGTCGGTGTCGCACGATAGTTTCTTCTGGGTGTTAGAGAAAGAAACCAATACCAGTTTATTGCTACCTTTTGGAACCCGTCGTATCTTTAGCGTACCATCGCTGGACAACCAAGTAACGCTGTACGATGACTGTATTCGAGCGGTTCAATATCTGGGACGCTTTATGCCCTTGTGGGAGAATGTGGCGCTGAAGCAAATGCTACCTGAAAAGTACATTTATGATCATATAGTCAATGGACCCACCGCTCGTTGTACGATGTTCAATTGCTCCAATCCGCTGTATACTACTTACTACTTTATGGCTGTGAAAAGGTGAGTTGTATTTAATGAACTACATAGGTGACGAGTTAACTCAGCATCGGCAGTTAACTACAGATTTTCAGTACAAAAAATTTAAGTTAGCTGCCGAGCGTGAGTTAACTCTTCACTGTGTAAACGGCCCATAACTGAAAATTGAGTTGACCAATAATTTCCGGTCTAGACGTGGTAGTACATCGAAGCAAATTTTTACCTGTTACTTTTGCTCAAATCACTGTGCGAACTTATGGCTGATGGACAACGGGAAAAAGTATTATCAGCTGGACTGGGAGGTTTGTGATCTTTAAAGCGTCTTAGTAAAAAATAGAAGTCTATGTAAATATTAATTAAGGGAAGTAAATTTAAGTAAACACAATAAATGTATACAACATTTCTCGTCCTTTTTTATGTTTTGAAATTTCTTATGTTCGGAAACGGATCTTGTTTAATCAGAATCGAATTATGTTTAATATTCTACTCTCGGTTTCTCTCACTGATATCCGGATGTATGTGCATATGTAAATATGCAGTTTTAATTGTAAAATCCCAGTAAAAAGAAAGAGAATAGTCCTACACTGCAAAAAGAATTCAGTTACGTCAACTAAATATGTTTCTCTCAACACTTGATTTGGTTATACACTGAGGGAAATAATGCATAGTAAAAATGAATTCTTTATATTTGATTGTCGTTTAAAAATGTTCGTATTTAAAAATAATATTTTCATACAAAATTTATTAAGCATGTATTTGACTGTTCACAACTGAGTATGTATATGAATATGTACGCACCAAGAATTATAGAATACAAGATTGCGCCGATCAGAGAGGATTTTTGAGAATAACTTTTGTATGACGTCACACTGGTGCAATTGCTAGAGAGAAATGCCAAAACGTGAGCAAGAATGGAAGAAGAAGAAAAAATGTTTCAAGGAAAACGTAAACAAGTTGCACAAGTGTGACGTCGTGCAAACAACGATTCTGTCAAATTCGTTAAGAGAGGAATAGCGGTCCGAGATCGGCGCAACCTTTGTATTCTCTCAATCGTGTGTATGCACCCCAAGAATGCAGAGCGCCGCTCTGAGAGCGGTGACAACCCACACATACATACATAGTACATACATGCCCTGCAAAAAATTGTGCGACTAATCTCTAAAGAGAGTATTACGAGATTACTCTCAATCAAGAATGATAGAATACAAGATTGCGCCAATGAGAGAGGATTTTTGAGCGTAATTTTTGCGTGACGTCATCTTGGTGCAATTGCGAGAGAGAAATGCCAAAACGCATATGAAAATATGTAAACAATGCAGAAAAATGTGTTAATTTTAATATTACATGGCCCAATTTTGCAGGAATCAATAAATATACAAAGATTGATTAATTAGGAACACGTAGCATACACATGAAAAAATGGATGTATTAACAGTGTTTGCAATTTCATGTAGACCAAAAGGAAGGTGTGCAGCAAAATTAATTTTTGGACTTGCCATTTTAAAAAGCCATGCAGAGTGCATATTTATATTTGTGGACGGTAGCCAACCACCATAAACTCCACAGCTGTTGACTCCACAGCTTTTATTTGATGACTTTTGTACCATTTCCGAGAGGTGTGGCTTTTTTGGAACCAAATATTCTATGCCAGTAAAACATACACCCCTATGCTGTAATCCGTCGTAGATTCGACTTTGCTACGAATCTTAAAATTGGTATGCTGTAATCCGCGTTGCCGTATCGTAATTTCGAAATTCGGAGACCATCTTCGAAATTCGTATGTTGGTATGCCTGAATACGACGTAGCTGTAATTTGTATGTATTTGTCGGAAATTTTCTACGAAGAGCAACTGGTGTCGGAGCGAAGCGAATTCTTTTAAAATATCAATAAAATAAAGAGTGGAAACGCAAAAATATGTATGTAAGTTGAAGTGTGAATAAAAAACAATGTAGCATTAAATGTTTACAAAATTATCAAGTCGACAATCACAACAAATCGCTCGCAATACGAAAAACTGGTGGAATGCATGAGCGAAAGGCCGGACATTGCCCGAGGCTTTGTAATAGTTAAAGAGGATGTGGCGGAATTTTGGGAAAGCGTTGCAATATTTAAAGCAACACAATATTTAGTTGAATGGACGCCCTTAAAAAGAGGGAGCATATATTTATCATTTAAGCTAAATGGATCAGAACTGTCTCGTAGCAATCTCCTTTGTATATTAATGCTACAGTTGACTGCAGCATGTTCTTCCTCCTGAGACAAAAGTGCACCGGCCACTGAATCCATTCTATTTTACTTAATTAAGGAAAAGCTTTTTCAAATACGATTAAACAATTTTTTTTAATTTCACTGTTCACTTGCGATTTTATTTATTTTGATTTGTTTCTGTCAAAGCAGCTGATTAAGAACTTCGAATTTCACTATTTTAGTTGGTAACGCCGTTGATAGTTACGATCGGATTACAGCATACCAATTTTCGAATTTTCGGAACGGAGCTACGAATTCGTAACTACGAACTTTCGGATTACAGCATAGGGGTGATAATTTAAGCTGAACTTTTAAATGTATAATAATTTGGGCACTGTTTTGTATTTGTCCCCTTTCAGACACGTCAAGTCTTGCTTTCAAGTCTGCTCGTTCGTTGGTGAAGGAGGTGGGAAGAGAGGGGAAGAGTACAGATACCTCCGTACCGTAAATTCGTTTCAAGTTTTCTGGTTCTCTTTTGATCTTTTCGTTGCTTTCACACAAAAGAGAATGCGATAAAAATTGCTTTCAAGACTTTACGTGTCTGAAAGGGGACTTAGGTACGTAACAGCGCGATAAGATGCCGCTTGAATTACCGCCTGGCGACCTTATCCACTGGTACATTACCTCATACCAGCACTAAAAGAATCATGTACTAACAAAAATAAGTAGGTAGTGAAGTTTATTTATCTATTTACTGTATAAACTGCTTTTGTATGTATTGCCAGCAAACTAAACCAGCAACTGTTTACATTCACCATGGAAATATACAATTCACCAAGGAAAGGCCAACATAGTTCCATGTAGAAGCTCATAGCTCACACACATAGCACAAAGCTCGATTTGGTGTTTAATGCATGTCCTCGCCGGCAGAACTGCTTCCACTTTTCCGCCAGGTTTGCGTCCGTAGGAAACGAAAAAAAACTTATATAGCACGCTTTCCTTTTGTTTTCACCATTACACTTTGCCACTGCACACTTCATTTTGCTTTTTAATGTCTCAATAATTGTTTAAAACCACGCAGAAATATTAACGCACAAAAATTTAAAATTATTATTTGGTTTTTTCGTATGCTCACATTCAACAATTGCACCAAGATGACGTCACGCACACAGCTCATTCTGTCAAAATCACAAAGAGCGGATTAGCGGTACCGCGATTGGCGCAATCTCTATTTCTCTCAATCGTGACTCTCAATCGGGTACAATTGGGCATTAATTAGTCGCAACTAGTCTTATACGGGTACTAATGGAGGTCAATTAGTATTCGCCTAACAAATCTGAGCACCCCGATTCGAATCTCAGCTGGCTCAAATTTTTATCACCCCCATGCTGTAATCCGTCGTAGATTCGATTTTGCTACGAATCATAAAATCGGTATGCTGAAATCCGCGTTGTCGCATCGTAATTTCGAAATTCGTAGGCAATCTTCGAAATTCGTAATGATAGTATGCCTGAATCCGACGTAGCTGTAATTTTTATGTATTTGTCGGAAATTTTGTACGAATAGCAACTCGTGTCGGAGGGAAACAAATTGTTTTAAAATATCAATAATAATAAAGAGTTTAAACCCGAAAATATGTATGTAAGTTGAAGTGTGAATAGAAAAACAATTTTTTATTAAATGTTTACAAAATTATCAGATCGAAGTTCACAACAAATCGCTAGCAATACGCAAAACTGGTGGAATGCATGAGCGAGAGGCTTTGTAAAAGGAGCTAAAGAGGATGTGGTCGAATTTTGGGAAAGCATTCCAAGAATTAAAGCGGCACAATATCTAGTGAAATGGAGGCCCTTAAAAGGAGGGAGCTTACATTTTATCATTTAAGCTAAATGGATCAGAACAATCTCCTAGCAATCTCCTTTGTATATTAATGCAACTGTTAGCTGTTCCTCCTGGGACAAATGTGCACCGGCCACTGAATCCTTTGTGCTCTACTTAATTAAAGAAAAGTCTTCAAATAATGATTAAACTAATTTTTTTTAATTTCTCTATTCACTTGCGATTATATTTATTTTGATTTGTTTCTGCCAAAGCAGCTGATTAAGAACTTCGAATTTCACGTTTTCAGCTGGCAGTGCCGCTGATAGTTACGATCGGATTACAGCATACCAATTTTCGAATTTTCGTAACGGAGCTACGAATTCGTAGCTACGAACATTCGGATCACAGCATAGGGGTGTATTTTTATTTTTTAAAAGTGACTAGTCGCTTTTTATACCCGTTTGGGTATAAAGGTGAACAATTAGTCTCTTCATAGGACATGCTCGAACAAAAGCGAACAGTTCATTCCATATAAAGAGATCAAAAGTGGTATTAGTCGCATGCTCCTTTGCGATTGCTCCCGGAGTCATCCCGGATTAGTCCCATTTTTTTGCAGGGAAAGAACAACAACACAACGTCATATATGAGATAAAATGCAATGGCAAGAAGACGAACGCTGCAGCAAAATATACATAGGAACGACGAAGCGAGCTTTGGGAGCCAGAATCAACGAGCATAAAACAGACGCGAAAAATAGGAAGATGACAACTGTATTAGCTCAGCACCTGGCGCAAAGCGAGCACACAGCGGACTTCGATAATACAAGAGTAATAGACATCGAAAGAACGTATTTTAAACGAATTGCTCTCTATTTTTGCTTACAGTGTAGTTCTGCGTTAATTTCCCTTCTGCAGTATTCGCATAAAATCGAACGGTATTTTTGCCAGTAACTGATAAGCGGATTATTGGAAATTAAAGGTAAATTGTTACTGTTTCCTAGCCTTCAATGCGATACGCATATTTGTTCTCAGCGTCTTGGGTTTTTCAGTGGTGGCGGGCAAACGCGGACGTACTTATTTAGCTTTTTACTTTTTCATGTTCCTTTTTATTTTTGCTGAAAATTTTAATTATTTAATTTTCATACACATGTACATACAGAGCTGGGTAAATGCAATTACATTACAATTACAATTACATTCCTCAGTAATTGTAATTAGGATTCTATTCCTTTAGCTCACAGCAAAGGAATCGATTACTTTTTCAATTCCTTGAAGTAATTTCAAATGGAATTGTATTTTTCTTTAATTCCATTACAAGGAATTTCATATTGTAATTGGAATAAATTACGTGCTAGTAATGTA